GATTGGAAGAATCAACATTGTGAAGATGTCCATCTTACCTAAGGCAGTCTACATATTCAATGCAATACCCATCAAATTACCAGTAACATTCTTCTCAGACCTACAAAAAACAACACAGGAATTCATATGGAAACACAAACGTCCAAGGGTAGCCAGAGCAATTCTCAGCAAAAAAACAAAGCAGGTCGTATCACATCACCAGACTTCAAACTTTATTGTAAAGCTACAATCTTCAAAACACCTTGGTATTGGTATAGGAACAGGCATATACATCAATGGAATAGAATTGAGATTCCAGAAGCAAAACCTCAATTTCTCAGCCACTCATCTTCGACAAAGCCTCAACCACCTACCACTGGGGAGAGGAGAACCTATTCAGTAAATGGTGCTGGGAAAACTGGCTGACCACATGCAGAAGATTGAAACAGGACCCCTATCTATCCCCTGCACAAAGGTTAACTCCAAATGGATCAGAGACCTAAATGTAAAACCTCCAACCATAAGAACCTTAGAAAATGAAGGAAATACCCTCATGGAAATCGGAACTGGCATCCAAGTCCTGAACAAAACTCGAAACCCACAGGTCATAAGAGAGAAGATAGACAAGTGGGACCTTATTAAACTGACAAGCTTCTGCAAAGCCAAAGAAACCATCAAGAGAGCAGGGAGACAGCCTACAGACTGGGAAAAAGTATTTGCCAACACCAGGTCTGACAAAGGCTTAACATCCTGGATCTACAAGGAACTCAAACGTGCTGAAAAGAAAAAACAAACAACCCCATTATAAAATGGGCAAAAGATATGAACAGACACTTCACAAAGGAAGACATCCAAGCAGCCAACACATGAAGAAATGTTCAACCTCACTAATCATCAGGGAGATACAAAAGATAATTTAAAATGATAATAGCAAATTTCCCAATTCTGATTGAGATAGAGGAATAGGAGCCACATAGGGAGCATTGTCCTACCTGCCAAACTCTTCAGTACTCATGGAAATCACCCTGAGGCCAGGCCACTTACTAGTAATTATTTCTGAGGAGAGAAAAGACTGGGTAGGGCTCATGTCTCTAGGGTGTGGAAGCTATTTTCAACTCCTAGTTTCTGAGCACTTAACATGGGTGCAACTGTTCACTATTGACTCCATATTGGCATCGAATGGAAAACTGGCCTGCGTAAGAGCATTTGATAGAATCTTTGGAGATTTTTCTCTACAG